ATCCACCAGTTTTGGTACAACTACAGACAAAGAAGGTCTATTGACAGCAAAGGAAGTCAGAAGGCTTTCCCTCCATCGTTCATATGGGTAGAGATGTGGCCACTGCAAGAGATGACACCAGAGTTCATGAAGCCGGCTGCCTTCACTGATCCCTGTGAAATGTCACTAATTTCTCAAACAACTCGACTCAATTCCTATTCATAGTTGATCAAAAGCCCATGGCTTTACAGAGAACACTGTGGGTTACTCCAAGAGGGATTTCTGGGTATGAAATGAATGCCATAAATTAATGGCTTATGGCTAAGTCAAATTAGATTACAGGGACATAAAGAAAAATGGTTAAAGCTTATAAAAAGGAAAGTAATTATAATCATAATGTGTATATATAAGTGTAATTTACATAGGAAATGAAGAGAAATTCACTACAGAGAAATTAATTCATTATTCTGTCTTTCACTTATGCAGCACCCACTTTACACATTTCTACATAGTAGATCAGCAAAAATAGGTGGTATAAAACCTTCTATCTGTAAATTGTGCTAACTATAAGAGACAACACAGAGCTTATCATTGCCTGTCTTACAGGCAAGTTCCATGTGGCACGCACATCAGAGAAAATATGATTGCAAAATACAAATATTCTGTTTTAAGAATTCTTATTTCTTCAAGTCTCCATACACTTGAAAGCCAATTCAACATATTTATTCTTATGAAGAAATGACATTTTCTATAAGTCCTGAACAGCACCTTTCTTGTCACTTCCTGACCAGTTCTGTCTGTGCTTTGCATCATGCTGCAGAATCAGAACAGAGCTGCTGCAGAGGAGCAAAGCAAAAACATTCGCATGAAGGCGAGCACTGAGACCAACAGGAGAGAGCCGAGCCCCAGAATAAAGCGCCTCGTGTTTCAGTCCATCAGTTTTGGGCAAGAGCACCAAGATCACGGTGCTTTTAACAAATGATGCTGGGGCACGAGAATGTTCACAAACAAAAGAAAAAAATGGACCCAACCTTCACCTCATCTACAAAACTCAACTTAAATCAGCAATTTAAGAATCAAAATAAAAAAATTCTTAAAAGAAAACATAATGGCAAACTTCAAAACATTGGATTTGCCAATAAAACCATAGATCTGAGAACAAAAGCATGAGCAAAAACAAAAAAAAGAAAGAAATTAAGTAAATTGGATTTCTTCTAAATTCTGTGCATCAAAGAAAATAAAAGAATAGCCTACAAGAATATAAGAAATAATACAAATCATATCTCTGAAAAAGGCTTAACATCCATTATATACAAAGAACTCCTACAACTGAACAAGTTTTAAATAGACAAAAGACTTGCATTAACATTTATTGAAAGAAGTTAAACACATAGACAATAATCACATAGAAATGTGCCCCACATAACCAGTCATTCTTGAAATTAAGTTAAAACCACTATGTGAAATCACTTCTCAAATGGTTGGGGAATTATTATTAACAAATAAATGCTGGAGAGGATTTGAAGACATTAAAGGCCTTGTACAATGCTAGAGGGGATGTAAAATGGTGTAGCCACATAGAGAAGTTTGACAGTTCTTCAAAACTTTAAAAATATAACTACCACATGACCTAGTGTATTATGTCTGTCACTTTCTCATCATAAAGACAAAAATTTGACACCCAGAATTAACGGAGAGGTCTTTGGGGCTCACAGTTCCAGATGGCTTGGTCCAGTTAGCTGGCTCCAGAATCAGCAAGAGGGAAGGAAGCACTGGGAGCAGAAGCCGCTCAACCCATGCAGCTGGAAAGGAGAGACGGGGGAGATCCCAGGCTGAGCACACGGCCTTCTAGGTCAGGCTCCCTGACCTGGCTTACTGCCTCCTTGCAGATCAAGCAATGAGTTCGCTGATGGATTCATCCACTAAGTAGTGTAGGGACCCTGTGATCCAATCAATGTCCAAAGGCTCCACCTCTGAGCAGGAGACTTTTGGGAAACATTCTGACCTAAACCACAAAACCTAGAGCCCCAATCCTAGAAACCCAAAGGAACTGAGAAGGATTTAGACATACTTTTATGAAAGTGTTTGTTGTAGCATTATTCATAATAAAAGAGGAGAACAACTCAAATGCCCTGATGAATAAACAAAACATGATATATAATATATATATTATTAAAAGAAATTAAGTTCTGAAAAATGCTACTACATGAAAATGTGATACAAGCTAAACATACAAGAGAAAATACTGTAGAATTCCACATATGTGACAAATCTAAACTAAACAGATTCATAAAGTTAGAAAGATTACAGATTATTAGATGGAACAGTGGCTGAGAAGATAACATTCTATCAGATGATAATTATAGGTTTTTAAAGTTGTCAAAAAAGTAATCTTAAAAGTGAAAAATAGAATGCTGTACAGACACTAGTACATTAGTTTTGGATGACGCATTACTCAGTTTTCCATAGAAACTCAGATCCATACACGTATTGTGATATATTGAGGGAACGCTAGGAATTAGCTTATGTGATTACAGCAGACAGAAATTATAAAATGTGCCAGTTCAGATGCAAAGGCTGGCAGGCTGCTGCAGAACCAAGAGGAGTCCTCCTCAGTACAAAGGCTCCCAGGCAGAACTCGTTCTTGCCAAGCGGTTGGGCGGCCCATAAGGAAAACTCACAGGAGGGCTTAGCATGCAGTTAGGCAAACATCTCAGAGGAAAGTCTACAGAGAGTTCAGAACTCACAACTTTCAAAGTAAGTGAATGATAAACACTGCATTAGAAATGCTAGTACTTGGAGGAAAAGTTGGACAGGTGCAGAAAATAAGCCAATATCCTAAAATAATAAGAAAAGAAAAAAGCTATAGTTGGATGAAACACCTAAATATTTAAAAAGCATTTTAAACTTTTGGAAAGACAAATGGGATGTATCTTTATGACATTTCCTATACAAAATCCAGAAAGAACAAACTATAATGAGACAGATAAAAAATATACTAAAAATAAAAATCTTGGGGCAGGGGAGATGACTCAGTAGAGTAAGCACTTGCCTGGCAAGCACAAGGCCCTGAGTTCAATCCCTGGTACTTAAAAACAAAAAAAAAAGGTAAAATAAAATAAAAATCTTGGTGCTCAGTGCAGAGCATTTGGTAATGCTGCTGAGTTCAGTCCCCAGCTCCCCAGCACAGTCAAAAAACAATATGCAAACTGTGGCCAAATTACACACACAGTACATCTGAAGAAAACACATTAATTGAATCTGCATGGTAGGAAAGGGTGGGTGTTCTTTAAGTCATTCAATTTTCCTGTATGCTTGAAACATGTCAATAAAAATGTTTTTAGTAAGTTTAGCGCATACATTTTTTCTCTTTTTATTTTTATTTTTTAAAGAATCAAAATAGTGATAGAAAAAAACAACATTAGGGGCTGGTGAGATGGCTCAGTGGTCTAAAGCACCTACTTAGAACAAGCTTAGCAAAGCACAGGGACTGTGGTTCAATCCCCCAGCACCACATGCCAGCCAGCCCGGCCCCTGGTGGGCTGAGCTGGCCACACACACACACACACACACACACACACAAATAAATAAATAAAATTAAAAAAAAAAGAAAAAAACAACATTAGAAATGATACAACAAGGGCAAAGCCATACATTCATATGCACAAGATGGGTGAGGCAATGATCCCGAGAATCCTCAGCAGGTCTTTGAAACTGGCAGTTAATTGGTAGGACTCTCACTCCGACCAACTACACATGCTGAAACTCGTGAACTAAGCAATCACACCAAAGACGGCAATGTGCAATAGTAGGGTCCTGCTCACAATGCGTCACTCCGGTCCTCCAGACATACACTGCTTGTCATGACACCCCAACCACTGTCATACTGTCTCCCAAGTAAATGTTTGTTTTTAAAAAAGCATAATGTGGGCCTGCCCCTTAGCTCAGTTCTTTAAGTGGCTGCTTTAACAAAGCAGTCAGGCTCAGGTTGCTGGGGTTCGATCCCCACAACTCAAGCCAGCCAAACCTGCCCTGGAGGCATTTGGAGAAAAAAAAAGAAAAAAGCATAATAAATGAAAACAAGAGACAAGAAAAAAAATGTCACAGGACTGTCCTGCTACAATGCTGCATATGACTAGATTTCTAAATTTCTGTGTAAAAATATGTAATTGCTTATTCCTATCTTTTAAATTTTTTTCTTCATATTCTGTAGGGACTTAAAGTTTAACATATCATTGCATAATGGAAAATGCCTGGTCCATGTTATGTCTAAGATGTTTGATATTCAGACAGATAGCTTAAGCTCAACTGCCTGTGTTGTAAGGTAATAATGATAAGCTTCTCTTCTGGAGGGTAAACAACCTCAGTTTGTAGAACCAAAAATTAGAGAAAAAAGGCTGTATACATTTTAATTTGGGTTTTTTTTTTAATGAAAGCTCTTACTATGTGACCCAGATGTGACTCAGATTGACCTCAGGCTGGCTGACTTGCTGCCTCGACCTTCACTGTGCTGGGACAACAGGCATGTGCCGTGAGGTCCAGCTAAAAAACTACAATTTTCAGGAAGTATATATGAAAGCTATTTTATAATACTGAACTAAGCATCTCTTTGGTATAAACATCATAGCAACAATGGGACCTTTAATTTAAAAAAAATTAAGAAATACGGTATGCTAAACAATTCGTTTCTTTACTTATCCATTTGCCGCTTTTCAGTCTCTGTGGGGCTTTAGATGTAGTTCTCTACACAGCTCCTTATCTACACAGAATTCAAGATGTCTAGAAGCTATATGTGGCAGATCCTTAGTTGATTTAGTTGTTGACACGTGACACAGCAATCAAGAGTCACATAGCATAAAGGAATTTCAAAACAAAATGTCGTTGGGGGGCCCGGGAATGGCTCAGTGGAATAAGTGCTTCCCTGGCAAGCGCGAGGGCAAGTTCAATCCCTGGTTCCACAAAAAAAAAAAAAAAAAAAAAAAAAAGGCCATCAATAAGGTCCAGTGATATGAAAACAATTACATATTTAAACATGATGCGTTGGGAACAGAGTATTATGTAAACTACTTGTAAATCTCCAAAAGTAATAGCACACAGCCATAAATTTGACAAAGCATTTTAAAGACAGCAGTACATAAAAAATCAAAACATGAAATATTAACAGTGAAACCAGTTAACATTAAAATGTTGCTTTTATTTATTAAGTTAAAATATGCAGTCTTTTAACCAGATTTTCATTTTCTGAAGGACAAAAAATACATATTTTTAGAAGCTACCATCAAAACTTATGTCCCCATTATTAAAAAAAGCTTCTCTTCATGTCAATGAAGTTCTGATTCATACATTTTTTAAGGCAATAGTCTTCAGATTAAAAACCTAGGAAGAGAGCTAGGGAGATTCCTCAATGGCTTAAGCATCTACCTGGCAAGTGCAAAGTCCAGGGTTTGATCCCTGGTACCAAAACAAAATTGTAGGAAGAAATAAATAGCTTCTAATTATGTTTGTCAGGATTTTATTTAAAAAGCGCTTAGTGAGTGTGACGTGGCACTTATGAGGAGCTAGGGACACAAAAGTAAAACACAATCACTGGTTTTAAAGAACTTAGCCCAGTGGACCAACCACAGGTCACCTCCTTTGGTCCATAAAATGAAGTGCAACTTCAAACAGTGTCCCTCTGGGCATTTTCTTACAAAACAATTACCTCCTTCACCACTGGTAATACTGGGGCACTGTGCATATTAATTATCTACTAATGGAATTGACTTTCATAAATGAGTCTAGAAAGGCTTTGACAGTGGATGATTGATCATCATCAAAAAATAACACTACCAGTCATCTGCTTTTGCAGATATCATGAAAACTGTCTTTCCAAGAATACAGGCCTCCCGGGAAGAGGTCACACTCTGTATGTAGCCTATGTGCAAACGGAGCTTGTGAGGAAAGGCGAGCCATGGCAGCAGTCATGAATTACACAGCTAGGAAATCCACACCAGTTGTCAGGGCTCAAGGGGTCAGTCTTCTCTTGCGAAGCCTTGTGATCCCCTAAGAAAGCACACACTTTCTGTACACATGAGGGCAAGCTCTCCCACTTGAGCTGATACTGCAGATGTGGCCTCAAGAAGTTCAAAGAACGCTGCCTGTAATTAAAATACAAAGTCAAACAGAAGTTAAAATCTCATTCAGACTTGATAGTCAAAAACTAGATTAAAACCCAAATCCAAAGTGCAAATTATTTTTTCAAAAGTAATAGACATTCAAATGAAAACAGGCTCATTCAGGGAACCCAACAAATTCTTTAACCAGGGGTCTCATGCATGCCAAACTCATGCTGTACCACCATGTCATACCATGCCCCACGCCTTGAAATACTTTAATATTCTGTAAGCATGTAGGAAATAGGTTTGCTAGAATAATACCCATAAGTCAGTATTTTGCTTAATTGGAAACACAACGGGGGCTCATTTAGCTCAAGAACTGGACCCCTTGATTCTATGCATCCGGAGTATACGGATTTCATCATAAATTATCCTTACTGATACCTGGGTACCAAAGGCACTGTGCCACTAGTTTTACCTACCCCCTTAAACCACAGGAATGTAAACATCAAAGAACAGATTCTCCCGGTTCTAGTAAACAACACCAATAAAAATCACATACAAATACAGAACATGTCCACCTCTGGACATGTATTTAGTTAAATGTTTTCTTCATTTTTTTTTCACTACAGATAACACTCTTTCTAGGTAACTCTCAGTACCATACTTCATTCTATATATTTCCTTGTAACCACTCTTGTTCTGTAGAAATTAACACTGGATCCACATGTTACTCATCTTTTGAACAAAGCAAGTAGAGTGGATCCTCAAGTTATGACCTGCCTCACATATGGCTGATCTGGGTTATGACCAGAATTTTAGGATTAGCTTACAACCAATCTTGAGTTACATACAAATGCCAGTCACTTGTGCAGCTGTAAACAAAGACTCGAATGCCAGAAAAGTACAGGTATCTGTATCTAAGAATCAGTCTGAGCTCAGATGCACATGTTTGTGGATGTGATTTAGGTCAATGCTTTATACAATTAGTATGATTACCACTGTCAAAATGGTCCCAAAAGCCCAGAGAAAAGGTAAGGAGGGTAAAGAAAGCAATCACAATCAAAAAGTAAAAGGACACTGTAGAGAACATGAGAGGGGTGTTTGTGTGCCAGTCTCACTAATATGTACTAATATGGTCAAAATCTACCATCTTAACAATCTTACAGAGAAAGGATTTGTATAAGGCAGCTAGTGTGGCTAAAGGTGTTACTCAAATTACTAAGTCAGTGTTGATGACGGTGAAAGGCATGGATACACAAAAGGCAGATAGCAGGTTATAGACTGAGTCTATAATTTATGACATAGCCTGGGTTATGAATGCAGACCTTGTAGAGGATCCCTGCATCCAT